AAGAAAAACGAGCGCAACACAACCCAAACCTATTCAAAACTCATCTGAGGCCCTCGGGACCTCAACCAACAATTCCAACAAGTCATATATCACTATCCGAACTTAGTCAAACCTCCGAAACACCCAAAACCACACCAAAATACCAAATCAACCTCTAATTCAAGCCTAAGAACTTCTAAACTTCCAACTTTTGCCAATTCAAGCCTAATTCTACCACGAACCTCCAAATTATATTCCAGAAACACTCCTAAGTCTAAATTCACCCAACGAAGCTAATCGAATCATAAAAATCCAAATTCAAATTCTTTTACTCATAAGTCAACTTCCGTAGCTTTCTAATTAAGAGACTAAGCGTTCATTTCACTCCAAAACTACTCCGAACCCAAACCTACCAACTTGATACAACTCAACACAGCTGAACAACATATAAATAAGCATAGATGGGGGGAAATGTGGCTATAACTCTCAGAACGAACGATCGGGTCGTTACATGCATATTGGTCTATTAAAGGTTTTCCTTTTATTTTTAAGGCTTAACAACTTGTTTGGATAGTTGTTATGTATTGTTTCATAATATATCATATAGTATTGTATTGTATTGTATTATATTTTACTGTCAATGACTGGATAGATTGTATTGTTTGTCGTCGTTTCAGGATGTCATGCACCAATAATATGAATAATAAACTTACAATATTATATATAAAAAAGTAAGGTACAAGGTAAAATTGTTATATAAAAAGGTAAAGGTAAAAAATAAAATAGAATTATTTAATAATAAGAAAATGCAAGATGAGAGTAAAAATTAAGGTAACGATGTAACCACACCAAATCGATCGTTTCATAAAGTAGTACTTTTAGTTTTTACATAACGACGAATTTAACAATACGATACAATAAAATTTAAATAACAATCAAAATAAATATTATATTTAAAATAACAATACCATACTGTGCAATATGTAAGAACCATCCAAACAAACTGTAAAGTGGAATTTTTATTAAGAATGAAAAGATTTTAATTTTTAGCCATTCCATTATAATGCTAGGTGTTATATGCCTAAATTCATTTCATTTGGGGGTTTAATGGTAGAAATCATTCTCTTCTCACCTTTTACCTGACAAATAAATATACCCAGATGAGTAATGTGAGAGAAAAAAAGCTCTGATATTTTTAATGTTTTCCACAGAGAGAGAATAAAAGCCAAAAGGGCCCATATGAAAAGGGAGTAATAATAAAATAATAAATAAAAGAGAAAGAAGACAGCTAGCGAGAGGAAAAATTGCACAAGGCCAAGAATCTGAAAATAGGAAAATGACATATAAACAGTTTCTTTCTTTATAGGAATAGTTATTTTCAATATTAATTTAAGGTTTTTTGTAAATTTGCTCTGTCTTTACATATACAGATGTGAAGATATACATACAGAGATATATCTCTCTTCTCCTCCACATCTGGGGTTGCTCTAAAATCCAGTCTTGATCAACATTCTTACCCCAGAAGTGTAAGGGAAAATTTTGAGTATTTCAAGATTTTCCTGATATAATTTTATCAGTTTCCTAACATACAGGTACTTTACTGTTTTTTCTCCTTTTTTTGGAGTCTCTTTTTTTTTTTGTGTGTGTGTGTGTGTGTGTGTGTGTGCTTTTCTCATCAGAAAGCTGATTAGTGAGCTTTGTTCTGTTTTTCTCTCTGTGTGTGTGCGCGCATTTTTCTCATTAGAAAGCTGATTAGTGAGCTTTGTTCTCTGTGTGTGTGTGTGTGTGTGTCTGTGTGCATTTTTCTCATCAGAAAGCTGATTAGTGAGCTTTGTTCTCTGTGTGTGTGTGTGTGCGCGCACTTTTCTCATCAGAAAGCTGATTAGTGAGCTTTGTTCTGTTTTTCTCTCTGTGTGTGTGTGCGCATTTTTCTCATTAGAAAGCTGATTAGTGAGCTTTGTTCTCTGTGTGTGTGCACTTTTCTCATCAGAAAGCTGATTAGTGAGCTTTGTTCTCTGTGTGTATGTGTGTGTGCATTTTTCTCATCAGAAAGCTGATTAGTGAGCTTTGTTCTCTGTTTCTGTGTGTGTATGTGCATTTTTTTAATCAGATAGCTGATTAATGAGCTTTATTCTGTTTGTTTTTTGGTGTGTGTGTGCGTGCATTTTTTTCATAAGAAAGCTGATTATTGGGTACTGTTCTGTTTCTGTGGTATTTGGTTTTTATCATTTTCTGTGTCAGATGTATTCAGATTCATTGCATTGAGTCTTTGCTGTCTCTTTCTCATTGATTACTGCTAATTTTGCTGTTTTTTCAGTATTGAGTTTTCTTTAGTTTTTTCCAACATGATCCTGGTTCATCAATTTTCTTGAATTAACATGGCTTGTATAGTTCAAGATTTGATCTTGAGATGATTAAATTGTTCATAAAGATTGGATCTTTTCCTCACTTTCAACTCAGCTTCAAACATTTCCTGTTACTACTGCATTGAGTTTTAAAGTTCAAGATTTGATCTTTGGATTAGTGAATTGTTCATAAAGTTTGAATCTTTTTCTCACTTTCAACTCATATAGTTCAAGATTTGATCTTTGGATTAATGAATTGTTCATAAGTTTTGAATTTTTTCTCACTTTCAGCTCATATAGTTCAAGACTATGTTGCCCAGACTCTCCGTAAATGACGACGGATGTGTGTCGGATCCTCCAAAAGTAGTGTATTTTTAAAGGATCCGACACGGGTACCGCAACATTTTGGAGAGTCCGCGCAACATAGGTTCAAGATTTGATCTTTGGATTAATGAACTGTTCATAAAGTTTGAATCTTTTTCTCACTTTCAGCTCAATTTCAAGCATTTCATGCTCCTACTGCTTCTTTTTCTCTGTGTGTGTGTGTTCACTTTCGGCAAGACTTACTTGAGTAGTAAAAGTACAACTGATTCTTGGTCAACAATTGAAGTAAGGGCAATTTCAACTTATCTTCATTGTACTAGCTTTTACACTGTATTTTCCTTTCTTGTTTTCTTGTGTTTTTTTTTTCTTGCCTGGTACAAGTTAGGTGCAAAATTTTGCCATATTTCTTACATTTCTGACTTTAGTGTCCAAGAGGGCCCTCATTTGGACAGCATAATTTGATAAAGTTTTGGGCCCTATATCATGTGGAAATATAAAGATAAAGTGAACATGTGAATTCTAATATGCCCCCTATATTCAATCTCAGCAGATCTAATTAAGAGTTGTAATAAATGCCTTCTATGTAATTAGTTCTGTGATTGCAATTCTTTGATAAAAGGACCTTGTACCTAGTTTGTTATAGGTATTACCGCAGAATATTTTATTTTCAGAGTTCAATTGTTGGACACTTTTAGTAGTGACTGTGTTGTATACTTTTTGGCTGACTTCTTCCTAAGTTAAGAATTTATGCTGCATCCTCCTTTGATTTGACGTTATCGTTTCTCTTTTTAGTTAAAGCAAGATGATGAGTATCATATTCTTGACCCCCAAAAAAATGATTGGTATATGTTTTTCTTCCCATTTGCTTGAGTATATATTCTTTCCAATACCGTTGTTCTTCTTGATGATCCACTTGAAAGAACTGTCACTTACGTGTTTTGCGTCGAGATTTACTAATTGAAGAGGTGGAATGGTTTACGTGGTTGTTTTGCTCGTATGCAGGTAACTGATAAGGATTAGGAACCATGAAGCATAAAGATGGAAAACCATATCAATCAGATAAAAGTTCATGGAAAGTTCCCATGGCATTAACAGTTGTGGTATTGTGTGGGCTTTCTTTTTACCTCGGAGGAATTTTTTGCTCCGAAAAGGAGAGATATGTAGCTGAGAATGTTAGCAAAGTAGTTGAAACTCCCAGTGGAACTGCTACAAGGGCTGTTCAGGTCAAAGCGATTTCCTTTCCCGAATGCAGTGCTGACTTTCAGGACTATACTCCATGCACAGATCCAAAGGTATTAATAACTTCTGGTCTTCTTATCTTAAAACCTTAATCTTTGAGATATGATTTTGGTATTACCTTGTGGCCAGGGGCGGATTTACTGCCCAAAATATGGTGCATGTGAATCTATGGTCGCTCTGCCAAACTATGTTGTTGTTGTTGTTATTTCCTAGAATTGATCTAATATTATCTGCTGGTTGCCATGCTCCAAAAAGGTTGAATGGTGCACTTGGTTGAATGTTGAGTTATTTGCCCAAAGGAAACAGGGATCGGTTCCCACTTATTACTTCCTTTTTTCTCCTTTCTTTAGTGGTGCACCTATGTTCTACATCTGCCTCTGCGTGTGGTTAGTCAATTGTGTTAATGATCTATTTTGATGATATTACAGAGATGGCACAAATATGGTAAACATCGGCTAACTTTCTTGGAACGCCATTGCCCTCCTAGTTTTGAAAGGCAGGAATGCTTGGTACCCCCGCCAGATGGCTATAAATCGCCAATCAGATGGCCAAAGAGCAGAGATGAATGTTGGTATAGGTAATAATTCATCTTCTTGAAGTTTACTTGTCGATGCTTTGCTGGATTTGTTAATGATCGTTGAACCATTACTGGTTGGATCTGGCTTCAGGAATGTTCCATATGATTGGATTAACAAACAAAAGTCCAATCAACATTGGCTTAAAAAAGAAGGGGAGAAGTTCCTCTTCCCTGGTGGTGGTACAATGTTTCCCAACGGAGTCGGTAGCTATGTTGATTTGATGCAAGATTTGATTCCGCAGATGAAAGATGGGACAATCCGAACTGCCATTGATACCGGATGTGGGGTGAGTGGCAATTCTTTTAGTCTTTGTAGTGGAGCTTTTTGTTTCTATTTGTGCTGCTAAATTTGAAATAACAACTTCTCCGGTGATTTATGTTTCTCCTAGGAAATTTAGTTGTAGCATGTGATACAGAATTCAAGTTAAGCATCACGCTCGTCTTCATCTTCCTATAGGTTGCAAGCTGGGGAGGTGATTTACTAGATCGTGGAATTTTAACAGTCTCTCTTGCCCCAAGGGACAATCACCAGGCTCAGGTTCAGTTTGCTCTGGAACGTGGAATTCCTGCAATTCTGGGCATCATTTCTACACAGCGTCTTCCTTTCCCTTCAAATTCTTTTGATATGGCTCATTGCTCAAGATGCCTAATTCCATGGACTGAATTCGGTAAGTTATCTTTATCTCCTTACATAGAAGGTGTATGCTATCTTAACTTTGTATTGCGTGCCTTTTTCCAATTACTAAATAGGGGTATTTGCAAAATTCAGCCGCTGCGGCTAGTGCATAGACGAAGCAAGCAAGATATTAACGGTAATGCTTTTTACTAATTTTACCTCATTATTGTCAGGTGGAGTTTACCTTCTTGAGATACATCGTATACTCCGACCTGGCGGTTTCTGGGTCCTTTCTGGCCCTCCGGTGAACTATCAACATCGTTGGAGAGGATGGAATACCACCATTGAGGAGCAAAAATCGGATTACGATAAGTTGCAAGAGTTGCTAACTTCAATGTGCTTCAAATTATTCAACAAGAAGGACGACATTGCAGTGTGGCAGAAGTTGTCCGACAGTAACTGCTATAAGAAGCTTGATAATCCCGACAACTATCCATCAAAATGTGATGATGGTACTGAACCTGATTCAGCATGGTACACTCCTCTTCGGCCTTGTGTAGTTGTGCCAAATCCATCTGCTAAGAAACTCAAGTTGGACACTCTCGCCAAGTGGCCGGAAAGGTTGCATGTTGCTCCGGAACGTGTTTCTGATGTTCGTGGAGGTAGTGCTGGTGCCTTCAAACATGACGATGATAAATGGAAGGTTCGGGCGAAGCACTACAAGAAGTTGCTCCCCGCGATTGGGACCGACAAGATCAGAAATGTAATGGACATGAACACCTTGTATGGAGGTTTCGCTGCCGCTGTGATTGATGCTCCGGTGTGGGTCATGAATGTGGTTTCATCTTACGCTCCAAATACACTTCCGGTGGTCTACGATAGGGGTCTTATTGGAACAATTCATGACTGGTAACAATGATTTATATGCAAAATTTGAAGCTTAAATTACTGTAGTCGCTCTCTATATTTATGTTTCGTTAAGCTCTTCGTTTGTTGCTCCACAGGTGTGAGGCTTTCTCAACATATCCTCGGACATACGATCTCCTTCATCTTGATGGCCTCTTCTCTGCTGAAAGTCATAGGTAAATAAGCATTTGCACCTCAAGTTCAAGCTTCGTGGCTTAATTGCATTTTGTCCTTCATTGTTTGCCGTTAACTCCTCATCCTTTATCGAGTCGTGCTTAACCCCCTTCCAACTAAAAGGCTAAGCATCTATTTTTAAGCTAGGGAACTTTGTTTTTCTTTTCCGTGACATTGGTTCGGTGTATCCTACAACAACAACTACACCTCAACCCCAAGCTGGTCAGAGTCGGTTGTATGAATCCTCAATATTTAATACTCCAACTAAAAGGCTAAGCATCTATTTTTAAGCTAGCGAACTTGTTTTTCTTTTCTATGACATCAGTTACGTGTATCGTACAACAACTACACCTCAACTTGAAGCTGGTTGGGGTCGGCTGTATGAATCCTCAATATTTTATACTCCGTACTTAAGGAGCTGTCTCTACTGTGCAGGTGTGAAATGAAGTATGTGCTGCTGGAAATGGACCGTATTTTGCGACCCAACGGATACACAATAATCCGAGAATCCAGCTATTTCGTAGATGCTATTGCTACTATGGCTAAGGGAATGAGATGGAGCTGTCGTAAGGAAGAAACCGAATACGGCTTAGAGAAGGAGAAGGTATTGATTTGCCAAAAGAAGCTCTGGTATTCAAAGCAAAGTTCATGATATGAGAACAGCATATGATAAACAATTGCTGATAAAGTCTCTTTGGAGGGAAAAGTTATATATTTTAAGATACCAGCCCATAGGAGATAAGTAAGTCCACACAAGCTCACATATATATATGTATTTGTTCTAAAGATCATGAAAATTTGAGATTTTGAATTGATGTATTAATAGCCAAATAACCAATGCTAGTAGTTTAATGGCTTTGTTATGCAATATATATTCTTTGTAAGGCCCCTAAGTCTTCTCTTTTGCGCCAGCTGGCCCTCGGGGATTTCTCAGTTATTTAAAAAAAAAAAAAGGCACGCCGTCTTTGGTTGTATTCTATTTTTATTTTATTTTTCAAAACCCTCTTAGTGCTGGCTGTGATGTATGTATTTGTTGAAAAGTGAAGACATTGCAGCTATTTATGTACCTAAGTTAGATTTGTTCCTTTTTGAAGTCTTCTTTTCAGTGAAATATTTAAGCTCAGTGTTTCTTGTTACATTGCTTCTAACTCATGAAAAGTGACCAAATAATATATGTATCTTATGTGTTGTGCAAAAAAAAAAAGTGTTTAGGGCTCGTTTGGTACGAGGGATAAGGGATAATTAATCTCGGGACTAAATTTGAGATGAGATTATCCTACGTTAGTTGGGATTATATTGCGGTAAAACTAATCCCGGGATAACTGGATTAGTTATCTTGGTATTGTAGTATTATTTTTATCTCTATGGGAGGGTGGGATAACAATCTCAGAATAACTAATCCTGGGAAAACTTGTGTTCCAACCAAACGACCCCTTAGCCTCTAGGGACTGGTTATAATAGCATCTTCTACCTTATCCCCACCTGAACTGGAGGCAGGATTAGAGACAAGGGAATTTAAGCTAAAAAGAAAAAACTGAGGCTAAAATATCATAGTGAAAGTCCAATCCATGAGACATTTTTCTAACTCCCTTTGCTTCTATACTGGAAGTTCTCCTTATATAAATGAGAAAAAACAATCTATGCATATACATAAAAGTTTATTTTTAATATTTATTACTATTTAATTTTTTGAAGGGGAACCTTAGAGCAATGGTAAATTGTCTCTGTGTGACCTATAGCTTACGGGTTTGCCACTAATGTTTGTATCATGGTAGGCTGCCTACATCACATCCCTTGGGGCACGGACCCTTTTCTGGATCTTGCGTGAACACGGGATGCTTTGTGCATCGGACTGCCTTTTTTTTCTATATAACTTTCTGGCGAGTCGTGGAAGCAGCCACTAATGCTTGCATTAGGGCAAATTGTCTACATCACACTCTTAAGATGCGATCTTTCCCCGAATCCTGTATGAATACGAGATGCCTTATGCACCGGGCTGCCAATAACTTTCTGATGAAAGGGATTATTGATCACTCCAAGGTTGTTTTGGTTTGAACCTTGAGATGACAAGATTGATGATGATATACAAAGGGCTTTAACACACTGATGATTGACAAATGAGACTTGCTTTAGTTGTTGGAGTTTGGTGGAAATTAAGTAGGAAAGAAATCAATTTTGAGATCATTTATGGGTCAAATGTAAGCCACCAAACTCCCCAACCAACTCCTAAAAGTTGCTTTAAAACAGAGGAATTGATATCTGAGTTTGTAATGGACCACAGAATGTGGAAAATCCTCCTCATTTTTAGATTTAATTATAGCCGACTCCAATTTGTTTGTAAGTGAAGGTGTTTGTTGTTAGTTTATATTCAAAATACATACAAAACAGTCTAGGTCTGACGTCCATGTTCCAAAATTTCCTTCCGAACAAATACAACCGAAGATAAAAGCTAAATTCACATGCGGACGATAGTGATCCATTAATTATTTACTCCATTTGTCTCAATTTATGTCATGTAGCTCGAATTTCGAAGGTAAAGTTATTATTTTTTACCGTGATTCTCATATATTAAGATCAGCGGTGAAGTTGGAACTCTTATTAAGGGGATTAAAAATTCAAAGAATACAAACACACAAGAGCTATTGAGTTGTGTCAAGAGGATTCAACAATCACACTATATATATATATATATATATATATATATTTTATTGACTTGGTAAATCTTGGCTATTTTTGAATGACCAGTCCGAAAAACTGGTTAGATCGTGCTATTTTTACCTTAATAGCATATGGAATGTACTACCTTGGACTTTGATCCATCTTCAAATGCGATATGGACCCAAAACCATACATAAGGACTAATTCAAGAGAAATTACCAATTATGTCCGACCATAACTAAATTAGTATAAAAATTGATCAATTCATAAACTATTACTAATATTAGTCACGTGCTATTAATATTAGTCAATCAACTATTTATAGCTAAAGAAGGTCAAATTTTTGCTTTCTTTTGTGTATCATTTGTGTATCACATATGGATCATGTATATCAAATATATATTATATGTATATCCATGTATACATGTGTGTGAGATACATGCATGATACATGTGTGGCTGAAGAATTTTGTAAACTCGATTTTAACTCACAATTTTGATACTTAATCGGTCCAAATCACCTCTAATCTTGCTCAAATTTCGTATATTGCCCTCATCTATTTGTTTTCAATGAATTCCAACTATACCCGTTGAAAATAAAAATCTGTTTTGCCTAATATTTTTAATATTGTATATCAATGGTAATGAATTTTGACTCCAAACTAGTCTAACTCACCTTCAAACTTTGTTAAATTTTATCTACTGCCTCATCTATATATTTTTAACGAATTCCAACAATGCCCATTGACCAAAAAAAAAAAAAACTTTTTTGCCTATGTTTTTTAAATGTTATATATCATTTAAAATGGCTAGTTGTTGCTAAATAGTGTCTCTTTTTGGTTCATTCCTGTAAGATTTCTCTAATTCAAGTCTGTTTTAGGCCTAGTCCACCATTGTAATAAAAAATTGGTAAAAATTGCATGGGGCGCCCTATTTGGGCGCCCCTTTTTAACCTGTAGCCGCTTTGTCTTTTTGTTTGCACCCGTATCCGTTTTTTATTAAAAGCCTTTTAAAAAGACTATTTTGCCCTTCTTTATTAAAAGACTACTTTCTCTCCAAGTATACGCTAGTGCTCTACTGTCTCTGTTTCTCTCTCCCGTTATTGGCGTTTTTTGGTTTGTTCTTCTCTGAAATCAGACGGTTTTTGTTGTTGTTTTGATTTTTCAACTGCTAGTCGTCGTTGTTCCCACATTACGGTTTAATCACAGGTGCATTGTATTAACTTTGTGGGTTTTATTTTACGATTTAATTTCTGGTTTTGGTCTTGATAGTCATGTATTTATGACAAAATAGTTTCTATGTTTGATAAAATAATTTCTGGGTTTAGTTTGATAAGTGCATTAGTTTCACTTTTACGATTGTGTTTTTAGGTTTTTTGAACGAGTGTTTATGTTGTTGATGAAAATTGTATAAATTCTTCAGTGACTAGACGTCCAAATTTTTAAAAATTTTGAGAGTTAAATAGATGATACTATTAAAGTGTGCAGTTTATAATAGTTCAATGATATGTTAGATAGGAGCTGAAATTTTTTTTCCCCATGTTTTGGCATTATTTTTGGATTTGAATTTGTGTTTTGTTTTTTGCTGAATGTTTTGTGTTTGTAACTGGTGAAGTTCAACTTTAGGAGCTGGAGTTTTTGTGTTTGTAACTGGTGAAGTTCAGCTTTAGGAGCTGAAGTTTTTGTGTTTGTAACTGGTGAAGTCGTGCTTTAGGAGCTGAAGTTTTTGTTTTGTTACTGGTGAACTTCAGTCTTAGGAGCTGAATTTTTGTGTTTGTAACTGTGAAGTT